TAACTTACAATATATTCTTAAGTAATCTTGTGTAAAGAGCAGGGCTATGGTGACATGTGGACTATTGAGGGAACAACATTCTGATATAAAATATTTTAAAAAGTCAAGTCTCTGATGGTTAATGTCTGGCGGTAAACTTTACACATACACACAGACATAAATTCTTCATGCCAAAAATATGTAAGGGGTGTGTGTGTGGGGGGGGGGGGGGTGTATGTGGACCTTCCTTTACTAGCCTGTCCATAATATCTGTCTATCATTTGTGATTTGAGCTGCTTTAGAAACACTAATGAAAGAAGAACTTGTTCTTTCTGTTTATTGCTGCTTTCATATTATAGCTGAGTCTGATCACTTTTTTCCATAACAATTTGAAATTGTTGTTGGAAATCATCTTTAACTTGCCAGGAAACATCCTGTGACCTCTGAAATCTCATTTGAGACAGATTTCCTTACCTAAGCAGAGAAACAGAATGACCACCAGAGAGCAAAAATTCAGAGCAGGAGCAATTTTTGACCTACTGTCAGCTTTCCTATTGAATTTCCTTGTGGGAAGTTGGCAGTGAGCATCCGAAATCTCCCTCCCTCCTTCCCTCCCACTTCCCTTCTTTTCCCTTCTTTTCTTCCCGCTCTTTCTTTTCCTTCCTCTTCCTTTTTTTGTCCTCCTCCCTCCCTTCTTTCCTTCCGCCCCAGAGACAATTAAGTTATTGGTGCTGGGTGGAGCACCAGGTAATTGTGTGAGTGGCTAGGAAGCTGTCAAAGAACATGGAAAATGAGGATCACTGGACTGCAACAGTGCAGTGGCAGCAGCGCTGAAGAAGCAGTAACCCATTAGAAGTGAAGCAATCAGAACTTTTCCAAATTTCATTCTCTGAGTCCCAGTATTCTGTAAGCCCATTTGAGGTACCTTGGTTGAAGAGATTTGGCTTTCTGCTTTAACATTTTGCCCACTTAAAGATTACAGACACAAGGGATTTAGTAGTATATAGATAATGGACAGTGTCTTTGTTATTAAAACCTTCAGTTGTCATCCTGATTAACTATGATAAACCATACTTTACTTTCTTTACCTAATTACTTCTGCTTAAATTTCAATTCAACCTGCTCTTTTCTAGCCTTAAGCCAAGCAGCCATACAGGTACCATATTTTTCAAAGTATAAGACGCGCCAAGTTTTTGAAGAAGCAATTTTTTAAAAAAAAGGTTTTGCACTCTGCAGACCTCCCAAATCCTCTGCATGCCTCCGTTTTTTGTAAAAAAAACAGGGCATGCAGGGAGTTTGAGAGGTCTGAAAAATGCTCCTGGGGGCTGGGAGGGCAAAAAACAACCTTTTTTTGTCAAAAAAGGGCATGCATAGCCTCTAGGAGGCTTGTAGAGTGCTCCTGGGGGCTGCGGGGGCAAAAACGAGCAAAAACAGCCAATTTTTCATGGAAACACCCCCTTTTTTTGCCCCCCCCCCCAAAAAGGGCGTCCATAACCTTTAAGACGCTTGTAGTATGCCCCTGTGAGCTGGGGGGGACGACAAGCAAAAAGCCGACTGTTTTTCGCTCATTTTTGCTCTTCACAGCCCCCAGGAGCACTTTGCAGGCCTCCCAAACCCTCTCCATGTCCATTTTTGTGAAGGGGCAGGGTTTCTGGAGGCCAAAAATGCTGTATTCAGTGTATAAGATACACCCAGATTTTTGCCCTCTTTTTGGGGGGGAAAAGGTGCGTTTTATACTCTGAAAAAATACGGTAATCCTTGACATACAACCATTTGTTTAGTGACCATTCAAAGTTACAGCAGCTCTGAATAAAGTGACATAACAATGTTTCACATTTATTACTGTTGCATTATTCCTATGGTTGGGGAGATCAAAATTCAGGTGCTTGCAACTGGCATTATTTATGACAGTTGCAGTGTCCCAGGGTCATGTGATTACCTTTTGTGACCTTCTGACAAGCCAAGTCAGTGGGGAAGTCAGATTCATGTGTTACTAACTTAATAACTGCAGTAATTCTATTTAACAACTGTGGTAAGAAAAGTCATTAAAATGGGGCATAAATCACCTAACTGTCTTGCATAGCAATGGAAATTTTGGCTCAGTGGTGGTCATGTCAAAGATTTCCTGTAGTTGCTGCTGTAGATTCCATGGGGCATCTGATGGTGTGCTGCATTTCTTTTCTTGTTAAAGACAATGTATCCTAAGTACATGGTTGTTTATTGTTATCAAAGTATGACTATCTCTGTTGTAAACATGACAGTGACTTAAGTCAATAGAATTCAAATAACTCACAAATGGATTTTCCTTAGCTAAGCTATGTAAGGTGATTGTATCTCATACAATTGTAACATTATTGATCCTTTATTAATTCACAGTAGTTATTAATTTGGTCAGTAGTTTATTAATTTCTAATCCATATCAGAAAAATGTTTTTTCTAACAGGTTATTCACATGCTTTCATTGCATTTCATGCAAAGTCATTGCTTACTGTATATTCCACTAAGATGAAATGCATATTATGACATGTTCTACTGGCTTTCTGCAATGCTCAAAGCTGAAGGTCTGTAAATTCTGCATTGCAGATTAAAGCAAACTATGAGAAGAAGAAGCATATACAGACAAGAGAATGTCCACAGGAAAAAGAATTTTTGCAGTAATAGATGCTTTAGTTACTATTACATTAAATATTTTATATTGGGTTAGGATTTGACTGTAAATAATATACTTGAATGTTGGCATATAGTTTTTTCTATGTGGGGCTTTCACACTGATAGATCTATATAAGTTGCAAGTTTGTTAATATATCTATTTCCCAAAAGAATGAAATATTTGAAGACTGCTGTACAATAATGTAAAGGAGATTGTGATTTAAAGTAATGGTTTGTCAGAGCTTATCCCATGTACTGGATACCCAACTTCCTGGTCCTTTGAATATGCAGTATATCCTGAGCATAAAGAAGTCTGTAAAGTCTCCGTCTAAGACTATGTTAGCTATTCATATAGAAGAGAAAGAGCTTCGTTTGACTCTTGATGTCAGTAAATTAATGGATCGAGCCAGGAATATTGACTGTTCATCTTGGGCTTATTAATAATGAAATCAAACAATTTAATTCTAAATAAATTAGATTCATGGTGTCAAGTCATAATGTAGTTGTTTTGGTTTTAGTTTAATCTACTGTATGAATGATTGAATTTAGGTATATTAGATGTGATTTAGTCAGTAAATTGTGGTGAAACTGATTTCATACTGTTGGTTTATATTTCATGTAAATTATGGTGAAACTGATTTACATGAAATATAAACCAACAGTATGAAACATATAGTTCAGTTGTAATTTCAGCCATTATGGTTTGTAAATAACGTATGGTTTAACATCATGAGTGAACCAGATCACTATGACTTGTTCAATAAATCTTGATTAAAACAAACAAGAACATAGTATATTATGTGAAGTAAACATCTGTACCAGTCAGAAGAGGCTTGATTAATATATGCCATCAAGTCAGTATAGGTAGTCCTCAACATACAACCATTTGTTTAGTGATTGTTCAAAGTTACAATAGTACTGGACATGACTATTTTTCACACAACTGTTGCACCATCTTCATATGATCCATAATTATGATGATTGCAGTGTCCCTGGGTCAATGGCTCAACTTTTGCAACCTTCTAACAAGCAAAGTCAACGAGTAAGTAACCTGGTTCGTAAGTGAATCTGGCTTCCCCATTGACTTTGCTTGTCAGAAGGTTGCAAAAAGGGTTCACATAACCCTGGGGCACTGCAATGGTCATAAATATGAACCAGTTGTGAAGTATCTGAATTTTGATCATAGGGATGCTGCAATGGTAACTGTGAAAAACGCTTCATTGGGAAAAGGTGGACATAGCTTCAATTTGTGCACTACTCCACAGTCTTGAAAAAATAGTTGGCTTTTAAATGGTATATGTTTCATTTGAAGAATTAATCAATTCTGTATGATATTTCAATTTGGTTTCATAGAACCTCATCTCTAGTTTGCTAATCTAGTTATTATCAATTTGGCAGATTGCAGAACTGCTTCCCTCCCCTTCAGAGAAATTTAACATTTGGCTTTTCTTTGATGTACACTAAATAACATTTTTTCCCTTTAAAATTCAAAGTACATGACTTACCCACCACACCATTTTTACCCTGTTTTTATTATTTTGGCTTGTATTGTAATTTTAATCCGGGTTTTTTCTTGAAAGAATGTGTGTAGATAAATAAAATAACAACATGATGGTTTCTTCTCTTTCTCAACAGATTACTACACTCTTTGAAAATAATTGAAGATGGCACTTTGTCAGGTTACCTTTGAAATAAGAGGAATATCTCCACCAGGTACAAAGTAGTTTTTAGTGCAGACTTGCAGTAGAATTGAAAGTTAAGTTTCTAAGTAACAAATTATATTCAGGCAGTTGTAGATGGGATTTTTGGAAATTTTCATTTGTTACATTTTGTAGGTATGCTTGGCATTTAATGAGTATATACTGTATGTAAAAACTTATTTTTAATGACCCAAGATAAGTTTCCTTAGTTCAAGCATATTGTTTCCAAATATTATGCCCTCTCAAATATTTCTATGATTATGTCTTGTAAGTATATGAAAACTTGAATTTCTATATTTACTCTTCAGACCAGTTTACCAGCTACATTTTTTGCTTGTACTATCATTCTGTGCCCATGATGGCAAACCTATGACAAGTGTGCCACAAGTGGCATGCAGAGCCTTCTCTGTGGGCATGGGAGCCGTCGCACCAACTCACCTCTACCGAGCATGCGTGCACGCCTCCCGCTGGCCAGCTGATTTTTAGGTCTCTGCCATGCATAGGCAGGGAGTGGGGTGCATGCAGGAGGGACGGGGGGGAGCACAGGGGGGTTGCAGTGGTCCCTCCGTGGCCCGTGTCTGCTCCCAGGAGGCAGCAGGGAGGCCTACTAGGCCTAAAACGGGGCACCGGGGTGGGGTGGGAGTGTCACACATGCACGGAGGGTGTCGCACGCGCAGTACATTATGTATATATGTTGTCTAATTGTGTAACTGATCCCTTTCAAAACTTCCTAAGATAGCATATCCAGAAATATTTTATAACAAATCTCCTAGCGCAGTGGTTCTCAACCTGTGGGTCGCGACCCCTTTGGGGGTTGAATGACCCTTTCACAGAGGTTGCCTAAGACCATTGGAAAACACATATTTTCGATGGTCTTAGGAACGACGTAGACTGAGCTTAAAACTACAGCTCCCGACAGCCCCTTCTGAGCCAGGAAAAGAAAGACTGGATGTCAGCTGGCTGCTCCTGCTCAGCAAAGCTTTTGATATGCTTTGGGAGAGCTGCTCTAAGCCACAAGCACTGAGCGGTCGCCCCTCCTTTCCTAGAAAGGGAGCCTCCCTTGGTCACGGTAGCCCCTGATGGCCTGGCGAAGATCTCAGGTGAGAAGAGCGAGCAGTGAAGGGAGTGGAGCTGGGACCGATTCCATTGATCTGCTGGGCTTTCTTTGGCCAAGGCAGGAAGGAGAAGCGGCCACGTCTCTTGGGAGGCGTGGTAGTTACTTCGCCCTGCTCGGTGAGGGGCAAGTCGGATTGGCGACAGCTGTTTGGCACGGCCTTTTTTTTTTTACGCCTCCGCCATATTACGGAATATCCCTTGCCGAGCAGCCGAGGGAAGCATTTTCACTGCTTTCCCTTCAGGCTGCCGCGGCAACCAAGAGGGAAGAGCAATAGTCATGGTGGCAAGGGGGTCGTGCCAGCTTCCCCCTTTGAGGTTCTTGGGCCAGGCAGCGGGTTTTAACTTCAAACTAGGGAAGTGAGGCTCTGGGGCTGCAGCCCGCTGAGTCTCAAAGGAGGCATCCTCACACTGTGCTTAGTTTGCTGCATGAATTTAACCTGTAACTTTGCATGATGTTCGAGTATGGGCTTTGAATCCAGTTGGGTCAGTGCCCTAATTCGTATTCAGTTAATTATTGCTTTTCTATCCCCTCTTCCTTCTGGAAGTTTAGAATGCCAGGCCTGGGGATCGCCATTCAAATAACAACCTCTGAGGAAGATAACATGAGTGTTAACAGCCCCAAGTCAGCCACTTTTGGTCTCTTCAGCCCAAGACATAATCAGTATTAATTCTTGCCTTAGCCCTGTATTCATACATTGCACTAGCGATGAATCAAGCTACTGTTAGGTTCGTGGCAAACTGAATTATAAACTATATAATTTGTTATGTAGTCATGTACTATGATAGCTAAGTGTACTGTGAGCCATAATGATTTTGATACTGGCTGAACTCATTCAAAATGTTGGTGACAATAGAATTATTATTACATGGAAGAGATTTTGCAATTGTTTGTGATGAGTTTAAAAAGG